TTCTTCTTTCTTCTCCTCCTCTCTCTCTCTCTCTCTCTCTCTCTCGACCGCCGTGCCGGTCAAGCGGCAAGCGTCGTGTGTAGAGAGTAATCGTTCAACGGATGGAAAAAGGCGCGGCACCGTGAAATTTGGGGCACCGGTAATTTCCGTGCGGCAAACGCGACGAGGAATACTTCAAATTCGACATTTCCAGCGGATATCGCGTTACGATGGGCAAAGCCTCCACTATTCCCGCCACTATGTCACCGTGAAACATAACCTAGGACACAAGGGGGTTCCACGTGTTTTTTTTTATATTTCATTTTCTCTCTCTCTCTCCTCTCTCTCTCTCCCCTCCCCTTTTCCTCCTCTTTATTCTATTCTATTTCTTCATCTCTCTCTCTCTCTCTCTCTCACTCTTTTTTTTCCAGTTCGTCGGTGTTTGGTCAGTTCCCCGCCGTTTGTTTTCGTTTTCGCTCGATCGTTGCCGGATACGTTTGTCAACCCGGTGCATGAAAGTCGTGGACAGTTAATCTCGGTGACACGGTATAACTCGGCTTTCCTCTCCCTCCCTTCCCCCTTGAAGAAGAAAACCATCGGAATTTCCCGTGAATAGCGACCGACCCACCGAGTTATCGACTCTGATAACGAATGCCTCGGGAAAATGGGATGAATATTAAAAAGCGACGGATTCGGGCGGGAGAGAGAGAGGGAGGGGGGGAGGGGGAGGGGAAGGCGGGCTCCGTCGCTTTCGGAGGGGGGAGGGGAGGGAACCCGATGTTTGCGGCCCGACTACACCGGGGGATCGTCTCGATCAGCTTCGAGATATTTTTTCTCCCCCTTCCTCCCTCCATCATTTTATCACTCGTTCCGCCACTCGTTCGGATTTAAAAAATTTATACTTTACGCTCGAGGTGGAAAAAAAAAAAAAAGAACTATCCGCGTATCGAAAAGAATTTTCCTTTTTTTTTTTTATCTTTTTTCTTGTTTTCCTCGCGGAAAGAGGAACGAAAATCCTTTGGCTAGGGGATTATTGGAGATAATCGATAATTTATAATAATAAATTGTTGAAAATTGTTAGAAAAATTGTGAGAGAGAAGAAGGGAGGAAGAGATTGAGAACCGCGTTGACACCCCGTCGCCGCGGGGCTGGTCGGTTGACGAGTAGACAACAGAGGCAAGCAACCATGAAGGGTCGCCGCACGAACCGAGTCAAACCGATCGGAGGTAATCCGGAGCGAGCGCGAGCCAGTCGCTGCTAACTAATGTTTGCTCAAAGAATCGCGACGAATAATTGAGTCAGCAGCGGGAAGGGAGGAAGAGAGGAAAAAAATCAGCGCCCCGAATCACCGGCCGAATAATCGACTTTCCGAGGACGGACTTCCTCGCCTCGCCACCATTTTTCACCTCACCTCCTCCTTCCCCCCCGCCCTCCCGTAAATGGACGATGTTTGACGAGCCCTTTCGGACAGCGAGGCTCTTCCTAATGGATCCACCACGTAACGGTACGCTGCAGACAGAGAGAGAGAGAGAGAGAGAGAGAAAAAATCGTAGAATCGTCGTCAAAATACCTGCACTTGTTTCAAAAATGGGAAATTATATCCGAGTTTACGGACTTTTCGCCCTCCTCCCCCCAGCCCCTTGTCCAACGTACCTGCCGGTTTACAAATGCCGATAACAAGCTTAACGAGCTTGTTACAGATTCACCATCGTTTACCGCTCGTCGTGTTCATCTTCTTTCCCTTTATCCCTTTAGGTAGATTCTTAAATCGACTAAGACTAAATTCTAATCCACAGTCTAGGAATTAGGATAGATAGAGGAGCACCAAGAAATATATCCAATCCAATTTCTCCCGATATCTCCATCCCTCTTCTTTCGAGAACATGAAAAATGAAAAAGAAAGAGAGAGTGATACAAATTTCACCCCCCTTCCCCCTCGTTCGTTTCCCTCTTCCTTCGTCCACGAAGGAGGAGAAAATTCCTGACATAGGATAGGTACGGGACGGAAGGTAGAACCGGTGAACGCGAAGTATTCCAACGATTCCCGCGCGTGTCAACATGCCAACGGAGAGAAAGAGAGAGAGAGAGAGAGAGTGGATCCTCCTCCTCCTCCTCCTCGTCGTCGTGGCGACTATAGACTCGCGGCTGTAGAGGCAGGATCGTGAGGACAGAGGTCGAGGGTCCTAGATTTAGGCAATCAGCGTTGATGAGGGGGTGAAGGGCTCGGACAATTAGTAACCACCCTGCCCCCCTATCTTCCCGCACCTTCGATTCAACCGGTGAAGCCAGCCAACAACGCGGCGACCGCAGCCGCCACGCATGCGAAAGAGGCTGCTAGATGTCGAGAGAGAAGAGAGAGAGAGGAGGGAGGCAGGGAGGAGAAAGAGAGAGAGAGAGAGGGTGGCGGAGAGTTTACGTCGTGTACGCCGCTTTGCGTGGATTACGCTACTCTCACTCTCTCTCACACACACACACACACACGCGCAGAATACGTACGCCATTCTCTTCGTTCCGTGGAAGAGCGTCGAGACGAGAGCATATAATAGACGGAAGCATCGTTAAGAGGTGTGGAATTTTTGGATAGGGGGAGTTAAGTTAAATTTAAGAACGGTTGAAAAGACCTCGAAACGTCTCGTTATATTATCCTCGATTCGTAAACATCTCGAGGATCCATCCATCCGTCCAAGAAGCCCGCTCGTTAAAGA